TTCATGGCCTCTTAGGGCTGAGTATCCTACACTTTTGAATAGTTTAATGCATTAGATAGCAATGTGCGTTGGTCTATCCACCATTTTTGGATCCAAATCAGGTTTATTGCCAAGTTAGTTTACACATACAAGTAATCTTTTCCATTACCATTCACTTTTTTGGGGATGATTCCGAGACTTCTATCCTCTAGCGCCAACAGCAGGTTGACATTTGTCTTTCAGAGATAAATACTGGACAGATTATCTTGCCATTTGGATATTCAAGGTCTTTGCAAACACTCGTGATCCCCTGATATTTGATCAACCACCTTCATCAGGTCGATGGTTTATTGGTGTACGACAAATTCATGAACAGCTGATATTTGAAAATGTACATAAAGTACAACCAGTAGCACGAATTGTAAAAGGACTTGAGATGTGTTAAGTACATTTCTACAGCTCAATGTTCACATCTTTGCTGACTTGACACTTGCTTTGAAATAATAGAATGAATCTCTTAAGTGGCTTAATGTTTCTGCTTACACTACCCTTTGTTATTTGGCGCTAGAATTTGGAAATTACCACGATATTAGTTACCCAATGTTCTGTCCACCCCTGACTTTAACCTTGACTAATACAGTTTGCAGTGTTAAGAAAATATATGCATCGTTTTCCATTTTAACAATTTTATTATAGAGAAGAAGGCTTTTTCCTCCCATTTTTATACCAACAGTGAACAAAAAACGTGTGCTGTCTTAAAATTCCTTGAGCGCAGAAACGGGGGGCAGTGAGGAGTAAACAGCATAAATGTGAGAGAGGACTACATTATGAAGGAATGACTCAAGACTTGGTCCTGGCGACCGATTGTGAAGGAAGCCTTAACCACTCATGTTACATTACTGTAGTTCACACATTATTAAATAATATGGTATCTGTGCAACAATGATTAAGTCAATTAAGCGTATATGCTAATGATCAAACACAGCAGAAGTGCACAGAGCGTGAACATCTCGCATAGAAAGAGTTTCCCTTTCTCTGAATGCTTTCAACCGTGGATCATTGTCCATTAAAACTATTATATTCTCCCTTTAAAAAAAGACACATAGACAGTTCAAAATTAACATCACAAGACAGCGGTCTTGTAAGCCTTGCACTGAATGTGTAGCAAGCTCATCAATGCTTTAAAGATATGTTCTGTGTGGAGCTAAGTGCATGATGGGGGCTGTGTATTTCTGGCACATTTTTCTCGTTGAAGTAGAGAACACAGGTCCTGGGACTCTCCTACTTCAAGCTCTGGAATGCTTCCCTCTCAACATTCTGGGGCTTCCTGACTTAGAAATGAGGCGCTGGGCCCCACATGACCAGAATACTAGTTCTTCCTAATGAGCCTGGGTCCTAGAGTGAGAGACATTTTACACAATGTAGCTCCGAGGCTGCAAAAGCTCTTATAAGAATGTAACAGCCAAGTCCTTGTTTAACAGTCAAAAGCGATGAATAATAACAGAAAAACAGGGAAAACACTGACAGCATTCATTTTTTCCCTGAAGTGATTTTATTACAAAGTTCATGAGGACTTACAGTATTACAAGAAAATTTATCAACATGCGAAAACAGAACAAAGCAGAACACAGGAGTTTAACAAACTGGTAAGATAAGACGATCCACTGTTCACGATAAACATAAAAACTGATTAAGTCCTCAGGAGGTGGGAGCCGGTGAATGACTACAGTGCAGGCATAGAACGGCCACATTCACACTGACTCAGCAAAGGTCAATCCAACCAAGGCAAGATGTGCACATCTCAGGAAAACATGTTACAATTTTTATATGCCATCGGCTTTTCTCAGAACTTTTAGAAAGCTTCACTTGTATGTACATAAAACTGTACAAAAACATGGCATCACAAGCATTTTATCCTATATAAATATACCAACAATTAGGATAACAACTAGATTCTCTTTTGCAAAGACATATTTTCAAGGCAATTGTCTTGTGTGAAAAAAGATGAAATGTTCAGTTAATTTCAGTTCGTTTTGGGAGAGGGCCTTTTGAATATGAACCAGCACTGACATTTCAGAAAGGAAAAAGAAAAAGAGTAAACAGTTTCTACCAATTATCTTTGGAATTCATGCTAAAATCGCTGTCTGTTCGACAGCAGACGCAGGGTGGTGGAGATCTATGTACACTATACCACCAAAAGATGTCATTATTTTTTTCACACAACCAGTTTTTCTAAGAGTCTTTGATCAGTAAGAAAACAGAATTCCATCTTGCCAATTTCAGTTCAGTAATTTCTCCATCTTTCTACAGAAATGATCACCATACGATATACACCACAGAGAGGCAAAATATACTCAAGTGAACATTAAATCAATGTTAGGTACAAATTAAACATTATTCAGTGTATTTAGGTGCTTCATGATGTCCTCCTACTTTAATCAAGAGGAACTGTCTGTGTTTGCGAGAGAGGGAAACACAGTTCATTCAGCATGAGTTCAAAAGAAAGGTCAAACCTGGTGATATATCGTTCCTGGGGTGAGTAGCAGGAGGTCATTACCGGCTCGAGAGAAAGAATCCAACTCATTAAGAGAGGCCAGGGCTTGTTTTTTATTTTGCAGAGCACCTAAATCAAACTCCCGTCATTCCGTTCAGAGCAACAACCGCTGATTACGACTTATCTGCTAAAAGCCACGCCATTTATTTCATGTATTAGCGATCAAAGAGGCAAATCTGAAGATACCAGATTCCCAAAAGCGATAAGTGTACTTTGGCTGGAATCAGGTTAACCCCGGAGATAGATTTGGATATGAAGCATAATAGGAATTGAGTCAAAGCTTTTAAATAGACATAGTTGTGATGGAGGCTATGTGACATTGGTTTTATCACTCACTGCTATCTTTCTAACTTATCATCAATTCCAGGTCAGCGATCTTACCCACTGCTTTGAGTTCGTGAAGCGGCTATCCGCAGCTCCGAGAAGGGTGCTGGGGGCAGCCGTGGGGGTTTAATCACAGTGTATCATGGCTGTTGTTTGAATTTTATTTCAGTTGCTAAATGGCTTTGAAAACGGCATAATGTGCTTTCTCCCCCTCAAGGCAGGATAATCGCCCACCTTATTTAATCATGGCCATGTCCAGTAATTTCCATATGTTTCCAGTTTAATTATTCTGAACGCAGCTTACAATGGCAGTGTGATGAGGTAAGTGCTGATAAAAATACCCCTTTTAACTGATTGTAGCTCTGCGGGTGGATTTGCATTATCTGGTGGGTGCCTTGTCCTGGGGGTGTGCTCACGCATGCCCTAGCTCAGGACTCATTACTCACCCTAATTAGGAAATGTCCATTCAAGGCTCTTCCACCCTTACTCAGAGACAGAATCTCACGATGGAAATACTCTGCAGAGGTGAAAGGTATCTACAAATCTAATCAAATCAATGTTTAAATCAAAGACACCGGTCGGCCCTACAATGCTGTAAGACAGGCTAGTGTTGTCATCATTAACATCCAATTACTGACTAATACACAGTGTCCTTCAGACATATCCTTCAGATTAACTTGGAAAATCTTTGTAGAGATAAATGAAGCCCACGGGCATGCCCTATTTTTTATTCTCTGTTCAATAGCCAGAGGAGGAAAAAATGCCTAATAATTTATTAAGCATGTTGTCCTCAATAGAGGGGAACTCATAATTAACAGGAGTTGGAGTGATTCCAGTTTGACTGTATTCTCTGTTTAAGCTCAACAATATTCTGCGTTTGCAATCAAATATTTGTTTCCCTCATTTTAGTAACAATAACTTCAAAGATGTCTTTTCATTCAATATCCTTTTATTCCCTCATTTCATTGTGTGCTCTGTATTGTTTCCACCTTTGAAGAAGTACATATCTATTGACAACTGATACTCTAAAAAAACAAAGAAAGTATTCTCAACATCAAGCACTCGTGTAGTGATATTAACTTCAATAAGTGCTCAATGTTTTGCAGTGTTTCTCTAAGCTCAAGTGCCTTTTTATGTGAATACCTCCTTATGCATTCAATAGATCTAGAGAAGTTCTTATGGATCTTGAGGGGTAAAGGACTATGAGCGTAAAGGGGGGACGGGATTGCGAGAGCTCGTCTGATTGTCACGACAGAGATGAGCTTTTCGGGCTGAAACACTTTCATCAACAGAGTGCGTCACATGGTTTAATATGAAAAGCCAATCAGAATATGTCCAGTGAGTACTCTGCGGTCATTTTGACTCCGGGGTACTGTGGCCAAGTCAACCGTTTTCATGATGAACGATAGGTCACAGTGCCGAGAGTCAGTGGAACATAATGTCAGTTTAAATGTTGCCACACAGCTTTCTTCACCAGTGGCAGAGCTCTGTAGGGAGCAGAGGTAAAGGCCATTCTACTATGATTAGGGGTCTGAAATGTGTGTGTGTGTGTGTGTGTGTGCGTGTGTGTGTGTGTGTGTGTGTGTGTGATTTTGTGGAGCGGATAAATGCCCACCACAATATCGAGCTCCACTTCAGGAGATGGTTTCAATCAAGTTTAAACAGCAGCAGCAAAGAAAAGCTTAAATATGCAAAAAATTCTGAGGCAATTTCTTTTTTTAGCGTATGCCGGACAAAAATATATGTAGAACACACCATTCAAATGTATTTACAGCACTGTACATTAATATAGACCGTTTCATTTGATGTTAGTCAAAAGTGTAATGCCTTCTGATAGGGCCTGACTGTCTGTCTATTGAATGATATCTAATAATGGCACAAGAGCACTGACCACAACTTTCAAATTCAAGAGATCACTTCACAGAATGGTACTTGGCTAACTACAACAATAATTAGTTACTACTAAAGTAGCATTTGCCATCTGCACTTCCTTTTGATTTGTTAGAATCTAATCCATCCGGATTTTGTATAAATTAATGAGTGAGTGCATCGATCTACTTTGTGGAATTCTTAATAAATATGCTAATAAATTAATAATTGAAGGAGGAAATGACAGAAAACAAGTGTTCATGCCAGTGATTGAATGCTTCACAGCCAATTGTTACCTACAAAACGGGCATTGGCTTTAGCATGTGTACAGCCTGTTTCTCCTTCTGACGTGGGTGTAGCTTTTTCCTCATTTGTGCACCAATCGGATGACGGCATTCCTCACAGGTAAATTTCCCTTTTTGGAGTGTGGGCCGAGGGGGGGGTGGGCGGGAACTCAGAGGCCACGCTCAGGGGCATCTCCTCTAAGGGGCAGTCCTGACTGGCGTCGTTACCGCTGTTGGAGTAGGCACTGCGGGAGGGCGGGAGGCGCGACCGGGGCTCCTCCCCCCCCAGCCTGGCGCTCCCGTTGGCCAGGCGTCCCAGGCTCCCTCTCTCCTGGTAAGGCACGAAGGTGGAGAGTTTCGGGGGGTTCCTGGCCTTGCGAACGGGGGAGGGATGCCCGGGCATCCAGCAGGCGTCTGAGTGGCCCAGCTCGCTGCACTCGTTCGTACAGTTTCCGGTCATGGCCACATCAGGGAGCGAGCGGATATCTGTGGGCGGAAGAGAGAAAAACTATAAGAGACAGCTTCACAGTGGTAAACATTCATTGAAAAAAAGTTGTAAAAAGGCATTTGTGAACAGAAATGGTGTCATCTGAAACACCCCATGAAGCCCACTATACCCCCTCCTCGGTGTCTTTGCAGCTGTTGCTAAGCAGTCAGCAGCAGTTGCTATGTAGCTGTTGCTATGCACTGTGTAATGAGCACTTTGGTGTGTGTAGTCCACTAGCTGATGTGATGCATTCAGGAGATGGGGTGCTGTGTCTCTGTCATTTAGAAGTGTCCAACAGCAGTTTGTCTGAAATGTTTGGAATATATCACTGCATTGTTAACGAGTTCAATACAGCGTGCATTGACTTCTATCACATGGTATGTGTGGACTTTAAATGGTGCTCCATATACATGTCCACATAAAAAGACAGCAAGAAAAAGATAACACACCACGGAAATACCGACACACATACTGTAGAGAGGCAGTGTTTGGCTACAATAGCTGGAGGCGAAAGCATTGAATGAGGTATTGATTGACAGTGCTAAAATGAGTTCCCTGCCCTTGATTTCTACCCATTTTTTATTCAACTGCTCCTAATTAAATAAATGGGTCTATGACCTAGTGACCTCATTTAAATGTACAAGCTGTAAAAGCTCCAAAAAAAGTTTGCCTCAAACATCACTCCAGAGTATAACACGCTTTCTGAACTCACTGTAGAGCCACCATGAAGAAGAACCCATGTACTTGTTTACTAGAAATGTGCAGCTGGCACCTAATAGACTTGTTAAGCAGCCCACCTGTTGACAAGCTAGACACACAGAGCCCAGATTTAATGGAAATACCGCTCAATTTATCTTTGTTATGCCGTCAGACTCAGACTAGGACAGCCCAATCGATGTCTCTGAAGAAAAAGAGCAGACAACTAAGATCTGTGAGAGTGCGATGTCACCCTCCATGTAAACTTTTGATTGCCGTGATAAATGCATTACTGTAATGCCTTGGCGCCGTCCACACCATGAAAGCACCCGTCCATCACGGGACATCTTGTTTTGTGGATCCAGCACAGTGTGTAAAAGAGAGTCAATGTATTCGTGGAGAATGTGGAGGGTGCTTCACACAAAGAGAAGACGTTGCTGCATGAGAATGATGCAACCACAAGAGATGACGTATTAGAGGCAGGAGTGAGGGTTCACAGCTAATAGAGCAAATGCCATCTTCGCAGTGTGCCTTTGAGACGTTCCATCAGTTTTGTACTCATGACCAGTGGCTATAGATAATTATCTTCACAAAATGTCAGACCTCTAAGGCCTGAAAAAAACAGCATCCGGCCCACTGAGGCTTCAATCAATCAGATCCCAGACAGAAAGAGCTTTCGTAATGGCAAGGCATGCTTTAATATTTAAAAATGCTTTATGAAAAGTAGTGGAGTGTATTTGTTCTCATTTCGTTTTCCTTATGTGTGTCTAAAGATTCATTTCTCATGGTTAATCCATATACAATTCCATTGTTTATAATGAATGCATAGCGCAATCTATTGTTGCCGTTAATCTCATTGTTCCAATAATCCTAAATTGCTAGATGTTCAGGCTATTTAATACGTTTACTTTACAATTGAGCAACGTTCTGCCTTATCCATGCTTAATTATATTATTGTGCTTAAGTGGCAAATTATTCTCCCTGTTTACAAGACCAATGTCAATGATTCTTTGCAAATGAATGAGCAGCACTATGCCTGATTAACAAAGAAGAAAACTGAATGTGGTGCTCCAAGAAAAGGACAAGGCGAGAGCGTGCCTGTGTGCCTCATGCATGATGATTGGGAGTTTCATTTTTCTGAGCGCCGCTAAGAGCGTTGTCTGTATGCATCACTGCTGCGAAATGGACTCTTGATACAAAAGATGTTCATGGGAAGAGAGTTTGGGGAGAGGGTTGAGGAGTACGCTTCTAAGCACAAGCACAGTCGTGTAGGCATCTACTCCGAAAGGATTTCACACTTGATTAAAACCTCTCCACAGCTTCCAGGAGGTTTATGCCACACCAAGCGGCCTTGTGTATAAAAGTCTGCAGAGCTGCACAACCGAAAAATCTGTTTGTGGAGCGAAAAAAGGTACATTTACACCGGTCTTCTAACACACGGTGGGCAATGTTTCTTCTTAATGAATTTGGCTTTATATGTGCATGTAAAAATCATAGACATAAACATAGAACATACATTTTGTCCGATATGTCTCATATTTCATATGTGTTATATAATCTCTCTTTTAAATCATTCACGGAATAAAATGACATAGAGGTTAACACTGATTGCCACATATTTACTGATTGTCAGGTTGCTAGGTTTAGAAAATATAATTTGCTCTTAATGATATAAAACACCAGCTAAAAGAAAACATGTAAGAGGAAAATGATGCCATGCACCGGTGACAGGAATGAAAGCGCATTATGAAGCATGCTCATCATCATCCAGGGCCAGAAAATCAGCAATGACAGCTAAAGCTTGCCAAAGTCTGCCATTTTCTTCCAACAGTGCCAAAGCACACATCGCACGCCATCGACAGAGAACATAGATGCTCTAATGCCAGCTATTTTAGTAGGCCGTTACCTTGTCTGTTGGTGTTTCATCAAAATTATATGTGGTTTTATTTATAAAGTATGACATACTTGTCTGTTTTCCATACAAATAGATACAATGGGAGGCCTATATTTAACAGGAAGCTGTCAGGTTGGAGTGAATGTGTTTCTGCATGCTGCCACGAGCCTTCCATAATGCATGTTATTTCCCTTCAAGTATTTCAACATGTAGTAATAATAATAAACCTAGTACAGTACTTATGTGTTATGATGGTGTGTATCATTTGTGAAAGCACACATTTTTACACTTGCTCGTGCTGACCTTTCTCTCGCACTCAAATCTATCTCTACAAAAATCAATACGGATAATTATACTTTTGTGTCTGCCTTCCGCTGTGGCCACACTAGCCATCTGTAAGCGGCTCACAGCGTGGCAGAATTCCATCTGCTCCGCACATCTAAAAACACACTCCCACACTCGACCATTGTCTGAATATTTTAGTGGACGCGATGAAATGAGATGAGTCAACCATTAGGGCGACCAGAGCAGCCAAAGGGGGTGAGAAACTACAAATGTTCCCGCCCACTCAGGCCTGTCTCCTTCCGTAGGTGTACTGTACCTGAAATAAATCTGCAGTCTAGAACAAACCCCTCTCCAGTCTTGTATGTCATGTATGGACTGTAAGGTGGACATGGGCAAAGCACAGCACTGTTATGCCAGTGGCTGCAACAGGCTGACTGGATTTAGAGAGCTTTTGATTTGGTTTTTGAAGAGTGGTGACTCAATGACATTTCTGACTCCCCGCACAGCAGTCCTTTCCTCTAGACTGGGAGATAGATTGCACCTGTAGAGCTCTTTTATATTAGGTTAGCCCCATCTGCTTGCTTAAAGCAATAGCATGAAAAAAACGAAAGAAAAACAGTCATTTCCACTTCCAACCTTCACTGCCACACTCACAGTCAACCTTAGCAAAAATCTTTCTTAAAAACACCTCCACTGCAGTAGTATAACATGCACAGTGCAGTTCCAGAGTAAGGGTACACACATAGCTTAACCCCCCCTCCCTTTCCCTAGGCTGACAGATACATGTGAGGGGTGGGTTTGCATGCGGCTTGCATCAGGGTGCCAGTGGGAGGTGTTGAGTGTCTGAGGCAGGCTTCCACATCGTCTGATCCCCTGCCCACGGGCATGGGGGAAGCTGCCTCTTCCTGAGATTTCACACCGCTCCTCTCTGTTTGATTGCAAATGCTGCCTCTCCCCACCGGCTGCTATCCAGCGTGTGCGCCACACCGCTATGATCGATGGCGAACAAATATGAGAGGCCCACAGCTCATGGAGGGATAACGGGGGAAAACAGCTACTATTGTGTGCGCGAGTGTTATTAATGGTATATTTGTGGTCCCTGCAAACAGTTTACAGTGGTAAATGACTAAGATTCAGGGAAGAAAAAATAAGAAATATCCCACATTGGAGCAGACATTAGTGTCTGGTGCGGGCTATCAGTGTAATAACTGGGTGTGAAGGCATTCTGTGCTTGTCATACTTTGTGAAGAAAAACAACAAGATACCAGGGTTTTGTGTTTCTTTAGCTGTGACATGTCAAGTCTTGTTATTCAAGTGTTCACAACAGTTTTTCGCAGTAAGCAGAAGCTACCAAAAAACAGTCTTTTTTAAATTTATTTTTCTCCAGAGGGGAGCATTTTGAACAGGAGGGGAAAGTTGCTACAAGCAAGCAACCATAGTGTTGACGCGCACATTTTCCTTGCTCATTGTATTGGAATACAAAAGAACAATGGTGGAACTTGTACCCTCAGACGTGCACTTTTGCAAGAATTCGAATGTGTAGTCTTGAAGGCTTTGTCACCTTGCCTGTACAGAAAGTAAAATGAGGCTGGAGCTAACCATTTAAGTCACAATACTGTGCTGATTTCCTGTAGATAATTGCAGTGCATTCATTTTTTACAGCATGCAGTTTATATACCTGCATTGTTGGAAAAGTTTTATTTTCTAACTATTTTGAAAACAAGCCAATGCATCCCTTTATGCAGCCATGGTGGGCATTCGTTCCATTCTGTTTTGTCTCTAAAGCTCTGTTTGCACTGAAACCTGAGGGGGACCTCTAATAATTTGTGATAATTGCAGTTGTCGCAAATTACCTCATAATTCACCAAACATGGAGGTCATGTGATAAAAGTAGTCCTTTGCTTTCGGCATATGTGATTTGGGATTGATTTGGGGATTTTTCGCCATGTTATTTGTTTTCTGAAAGGGAAAATAAGCACATTTTAGGAAGATCACTATCAGTGGTGTAAAGTAAATGAGTACACTCTTAGTTTACTGAGTTCACTCAAGTACTGTACTTAAATACAATTTTGAGTTTACTTGAGTATCTCCATTTTCTGCAACTTTGTATTTGTACTCCACTAC